TAAAAAATAAAAAAAAAAAAAAAAGAAAAAAGATAAAAATAAAAATGTAATACAATTTTTATTGTAAAAAATAAAATAAAAATAAATAAAATCAATTTTTAAATTAATAAAATGAAATAAAAATAAGTTGAAAAAAGTACAGATTAAAAAAAATATTTAAAAAATCTATAAATGAAAAAGTCAAATAATTATAAAAAATCTAATAAAAAATAGATCAAATTAAATTGAATAAATCAGTTGAAATTTTTTTTAATAAAAATAAAATGGTAAAAAATGTTATTAAATCAAAGATATATGAAAAAATGTAATAAGAAATTAAAACATGTAAAAAAATCAAAAACAAAATAAAACAAAAATTAAATAAAAATAAATAAAATGAAATAAATTAGTTGAGAAGGTCGGTCAGTTTCAGTATAGTCTTAAAAAAATAAAAATAAATAAATAAACAAACAAATAATTAGATAAAATTAAAAAATTAAAATAAAAATTAAAAAAATATCATAAAAATTTAAAATTTTAAAAATAAAATTAAAATTAAATTAAATATAAAAAGAAATTAAATAAAATTTTTAAAAAGTAAATCAAATATATCAGTTGTGTAAACGTAATAAAAAATAATTAAAAATAATAATAAAACAAAATAAAACTTAATAAAATAAAAGGAGTTTAAAAATTTATTATTTAAAAAAATGTAAAAAAAAATGTAAATTAAATAAAATAAAAATAAATAAAATATATCACATCAAGTAAATCAGTTAAAAAATTTAACAAAAATGTAAAATATAAATAATTAAATAAATAAATAAATCAGTTAAAATTATTTTTATAAAAAATTTATAAAAATAAATAATACATAAATAAATAAATAAAACAAAATAAAAATAAAAACAAATAAATCCGGTGGAAAAAAAATGTAAAAATAAAATAAAATAAAATAAAAATAAAATTAAAAAAATTGATTGTGAAGGTCAGACAGTTTCAGGGTGGTCTTAAAATAAAAAAAAATTATTAACAAATTATTTAAATAAAAAATAAATAACTAAAATAATTGGTTTGAGTGTGGTCATGTGATTGTATATCTCTGATCTCCTGTCATTCCCGTCTGACTGTTGTGTTTGTTCTTTGATATGATGATGTAGGTGACCCCATGACCCCTGACCCCAGACTCACACTCCTTCATCATGCCGATATCGATGCAGCGCTTCAGTCTGCAGGCCTGGCAGTGCCGCCGGTTGTCTTTAGTGATGGTGCAGTTTCCATTGAACGGGCAGGTAAAACTGGCCTTACGCTTCATACTGCGCCTGCACACACACACACACGGAGAGAGAGAGAGCTGAATGAGTCAACATATAATGAAACATTAGTGGTAAAATTCTCTATATAACCACAAAAACAAGGAATATCAACGTAGAAATGTGTTAGAAATATAATTAATCTAAAATATGGTTTAAATTTGACACATTATATATACACACAAGATTGTATGCACACGTACATATATAAAACCAGGCTAAATCATTCACCTTCTTATGGGATAAGTGTTTTTTGCAGTATTTTTCCTTCTAGAAAAGTCTAAGTTCTTTTAGTTTGGCTGAAATAATAATAAAAAGTAAAAACTGGAAAAACAAATCTAATTAAATGAATACAAATAATTCAAATCAATATTAAAATTAATAAAATGAGGTAAAAAATAAGTAGAAAAAAAGTAATGATTAAAAACATTTATAAAAAAAATCAATAAATAATAAAATCAAATAAATATTTAAAAAAAATTTAATAATAAAAAAATCAATCAAATTAAATTGAATAAATCAGTTGAACAAACTTAATAAAAATAAAAAGGTAAAAAATGTTATTAAATCAAAGATATATGAAAAAATGTAATAAGAAATTAAAACATGTAAAAAAATCAAAAACAAAATAAAACAAAAATTAAATAAAAATAAATAAAAT